TACAAAAAATTTAGTCAAAAAATTTCAAAAAAAGTAAATTCAGCTTGCCTAAAACGCAATTATCTTAGATGACCTAGGTTGACCTTGACCCTGACCTTGACATCTGTATATCGTCGAACAATATGTTTCATGATAGGTGGGAGGTAAGATTGGCATAAAAGGCCGAAATCAAGGTGTTAAAAGCTCACAAGGCCCATAGCCAACGCAAGATGTTGAGAATTGGCCATTTGGGACATGACATGACCTGAAAAACAAGGTCATATCTCCGAAACCAAAAACCACAGAAACTTGAAATTTTCAGTGGACATCAAAAAAGGATAGAGAAGCAGCTATACGAAAAATCAGCCTTCTAGCTCTAAAAATGTTGAGTGCAGAGCAGAAAGACTACCTGGGGGGTGTGGCAACCCCCCCCCCCCTATGTGCGGGCGAGGGTTAACCCTCGCCGGCCGAGGGGGGGGGGGGGGCGGGTGCCGCCCCCCCCATAGGGTTTTTTCGCGATAGCTCCGAACACGCTGGCGATAGAGAGCTGAAACTTGGCATACCTGACCTTTGATCCAAGCCGCATCTTTTGACACCAACCGCATTTTTGGGTCAGGTCAGGTCACTGACCTATGACGTCATAAGTGAACCTCTGCACGGTCTTCAGATGTCGCAACTTCGCAACGCCCTCACTGCCAGAGGAGATGTCACAGGGAAATGAAACTTGCAGGATCTAGTATCCATTATGAGTCTCACAACTTGTATATCTCGGATTTTTCCTAAAGGTCATATGAGGTCAGGTCATTTTCGTGACCTCACCATTATAAGTCAATGGGGAAAAATTCAAACTGCTATTCTGGCGCCGGGAACGATCTCCAACTATCTCAAGCACACAGAATCGTGATTTGATGCACTCCTTGCAAGGTTAGATGCGTCACTTTTGCAATGTTGACCTTCCGTGACGTCATTTATGACGTCATCAAGGTCATATTAGTTTTTCGTCAATAACTCCCGATCAAATTGAGCTAGCGAGTCGGGAAAGCCACCAATGGACTCAGGAAGACCTGCCAAATCGAATGATATGCGACATGACCTCTTTCGACCAACTTCGTGACCTGGGGGTGCTGACCTGACATTGACCTGAGGTCAACACCCCAAGTTGACCTGACCCGGACAAAAAGTATATCATTCGACGCGCCTGATCAAGGCGAACACGATGCTGCCAAAATCGCGGCTCTGCGGCCGTTTTTTGCGAAGTTATTCACCAAAAACTGAACCGTACCCTGGGGCACTTGACCTGACCTCAGAGGTCACCGGTTGACCTAGGACCTTAAAATCGGGTACCAATCTCTGCGTCTCGTAACGGCGCACACGCTCGTTTTTTCCGCGACGCGCTAGCTCCACCAGGGGCGAAACGGCGAGGGGGGGTCGTACCCGCCCCCCCCCCCCTCGGCCGGCGCGTATGTAGAAAACCAATAGGTCCGGCGAGTTAAAGCAAAAATGGCGTGACGTGACAGCACTGAAACGTCATTAAAACAAACAACGATCGATGTAGCCGAAATTTCAGGGGACACGTCAGTTTAATGTATGATAAGGTAATGAAAGTTGTACGTAGGTGGCTAAGGCTTGATGCATTTAGAAGGCATTAGAAAAAAACCGGAGGTGGCAGATTCTGCCCTCTTCCCAGCATTGCGCGGGCTTAGCCTCACAAGATATATGCTTTTTTACAAACGGTGTTTAGCTGCTACGACTCCTCTCGCCGTTAGATATGTTTCGGGCATGCGGAGGCTCACAATTCACATATATTATCATGGTTCAGTGACCTGACCTGACATGAGAGCGCAGTCGGGCTTTAATAAATGTTCAGGCATATTATTATCTATAGTTATCTATCCCTAACGCGTTCCGAGCTATGGTGAAGAAAAAAAGCGGATGGTGACTGGTGTCCCTCTTCCTTACTTTGGCCGGGTAGGGATTGTGCAAAAGCTCTTTATTTATCAGTCCGCTTTTTACAGCAGCGTTCCTTGAGATTGACCAAATGGCACGGACAAGACGTCAGTCTTTTTTAGAGTTAGAATGAGCCTTATTGATTAGACATTGTTAATAAAAATGCAAATATATGAACAGTATAGCAATACAAATTCCTTTTGTTCTGAATGCTTGATCTGACCAATTTCAGCCCGCGAATCATAGGCACATCAATATTCAGCGCTTCTCGCCCAGCTTAAGTGTTAGCATACGTTTTTAGCTATTTTCATATAGCCACTTTCTGAATTATATAGATCGCCTGCTCCCGACGTTACGGGCCACACGTTGACGTTCGCACAATGAGAATTTGTAGCGGATTGCACTCTGACGGCCGCGCTGCACGCACATTCACACATTCACAAGTCCGAGGCTGCAGACCGATTTTTAACGCTGTTGGGAAGCATCCAATCGTGAAAGCCATGAGGTGCTCCGTTCTCCCATTGCAAAGCCAATATAAAACTGCGGAGGAAAACTCTAGGACGGGCTCCGACCAGTCATAGCTTGTTTGGACATTTGTATTTGTTTAAGTAGGAAATTTATCCAAAAGGCACATTGCCTTTGTGTAGCTAAGAGTTTCCCTTTAAAAATATTTGCGTTGTGCATGTCATGGGAATGTGGTTCTGCGACACCTGAGCGAGCGTCATTTCAGCGAACGACATTTGAGCGAAACATTTTCAGCGATTATCAATTTAAGCGATTGACTTTTTCAGCGATTGTCAAGTCGGCGAATTCAATCACAGCGATTATCCACTTTAGCGAGGACCAGAATCAGCGAAACCAAATTGAGCGAATATATGGTGGTCAGTGGGAAACCAATTGAGCGAATACAGTTACAGCGAAACCGAACCCGACGAAATTCAATCATATGGTACTTTTCGGAAATTCTTGCCCTTGGAATACCCGTTTGGTATACCCGTGTATGTCACGGCTAAAACAATGGTTCTTTATGACAAAGTGTGGGAAAAGGTTTTAACATTTTCTCCAAATTTGCAGCCAGTATCTTGTACCACTGATTTCGAAGTCGCAGCACATCAGTCGATGAGACACCTTTTTCCTGGTATTCAAATAAGGGCATGCTTTTTCATTTTCGGCAAGCAATTTGGAGGAGGGTTTGTGATTTGGGGCTTAGAATGGCATGCATTCAGGACGAAAATGTTCGCATTTTTACCAAAATGCTAGCGTCCTTGGCATTTCTTCCGTCTCAGATTGTGGTCAATAGCTTTGAGCAGCTGGATGAACTTCGGGAACAAAGTAATCTGGAAATTCTTGCACCTCGTTACGCATCATTTGAAGATACATCGGACGACCAACAAGGGGTGGGAGGGGAAGGAGGCGGGCAAAATTTGAATCGAAAATGTGGAACGTGAGAGATAGAGACGACGGAAGGAATGCCAAGGACCAATAATAAGCTCGAGGGATGGCACAGGGGAATCCAGTCTATGTTTCAGGGACCTCGCCCAAATATCTGGAAATTCGTACGGTGCTTGGGGCAAGAACAAATTTAACAACATGGGGAACTGATCCAAATTCAAGCGGGGAACTTCGCGAAAAACAGCACAAGCAATATGAATCCGTGAACAAACGTTTGGTCATCATTATTGGCAAATAGCAGGGGGTGTGAAATTGAACCATTGGAATTTTTTAGAAATGTAACATTAAATTTGGAGCTCAATGTCTGACCTTTGAACGTGACATCCGCCATCCAGTTCCGGATAACCATGAGAAATTCCGGAACACATTTGTACGTGTATACGCTCGCAAACATAAAAAAGTCCGTTACAGGACGATGAAGTGTTTCGCTGAACTAGCAGTCGCTCAAATTGTAGTCGACGAAATAGATGTCGCTGAAACATAGCTTTCGCTAAAATTGATAATCGCTATATTTGATAATCGCTGAACTTGACAATCGCTGAATTGCCATTCGCTGAAAATGGTTCGCTCAAATGTCGTTCGCTCAAATGACACTCGCTGAAGTCGCTCGCACCGTGGGAATGTATGCGCTTACTTATCTGAAAAGTTTATTGCTGATCATTGTCTAACTTACTGACAAATAGGTACCTATACCTAGGTATGAGATGAAACAAAACTAATTGCTTTTAGATAGATACGACTGGATATTTTATTGCATAGGCACCAAACACGTGCCGAACAAAATAAGGAAATGGGTAACATCCGACGCCAATATAAAAATATGCAGGCTCAGATACTATCGGCTTCACCAAACTCGAGCGGTCGGTGTGCTCTACGCGTACGGCCACCACTAGGCGGCGCTGAACGGCGAGGGAAGGCAGACTGTGCCGCATTACACACGAGCTCAGCAGTACAGTCTACCCGGCAGTCTTGATGGGAAACACAGGGTGGCAGTCGTTATGGGAAGGATAGTCGTTACGGGAAGGACAGTCTACCGATGGTAGGGACAATTGTGTAGGTAATTCACATTTATAGCTATGTAAGTACCAACTACGCGCATGTATTGCCTCAGGACCTTTTGAGACACGCTTGGTGCCTGAGACCTACCTTTGCTCTTAGTTGCGTGCTGTAGACCTGTAACGAGGACCTGCTGGGACGGTGGGAGTGACTGTCAAATTCAAACGCATTGGTGCTTTTGACGCATGACCAATGCACCACTTATGGCCAATACTTTGCTTGTCTTACAGTTTACACTTAATACCCATTACCTAAATGTAATTGCAGTTTCCCTAGCCTATCACCTCCTCAGGACACAGACCCGCCGGCCAGCTGCAGCGTGTGGGTGACAGACGCCGAGCCCGGTCCTCCACTTTGAGCAGTGTCACGACCCGTCGCCGGCAGGGCGGCGGAGCTGACCGGAGGGCCGCCGCCGCTCCCAAGGGATCGATTTGAGCAGGCGGCGGCGGCGGCGGCGGCGGCGGCGTGGGTGGCGGCCGGTCGCTCTCGCGCCGCCCCCTCCGCCGATCTCGCACCGCCCCTATAAAGCGGCGAGCTGGGCCGCCGGGCGAGAACGCGTGGCGGGGCGGACGCGGCGCCAGTGGGCCGCCCGAGTGCGCTGAGGACGGCCGCACGGCGCACCAGCGCGCTAGGGCACAGCACGAGACAGGCGCGCGCGCACACGGGGCCGCCGGCCGAGACTGCCTCGGGCCGTGGCAGAGCGCGGCCGCGGCGGCATCACTGCTAAGGACCAGGTGAGGCCCGCACGGCTACCGGAGCACCAGGCATGCGGTGCCGCGCCGATTTGGCGATGAGTTTGGACTGGATTCTAAGATTTTAATTACACCAGGGAGGTCGTGTTAATTAAAACTGCATCCTCTTGAACAGATTTATGTGAATGGGTGCGTTTCCGCAAGGCATTTCCTAACCCACAGTTCAGTGATCTAAACTGCATAGCCTGGATTATCAATCATGTCCCTTTTTTGAAGCAATGCGTATAAAATTGTATTTCCTTTAAAGAAAACAGAAATGTTCACCTCATGATATCATCCGATTTACGATGGTTAGCTGAAGCATATTTGACTAACATTTTGCACATATTTGGTGCAGATTTGGTCAAATTAGGTTCATTGTGTTTTTTAGTTGTTATCAGCAAGGGGTGCATTTATAATTGCTTATATACCTGATTGTTTTCAATATCAGACATCACGTTGAATAAAATCCCTGAAATAAACTCATTATATTACGACATTTGTTGTAAAAGAGATTTGGTGCAGATCTGGTCAAGTTTGGTGCAATCGACCAATAAGCTGTAGTGAAAACGGCTTTTGTGATCCAGTGAATATAATGCTAGTGACATTTAATCGAATCGTACAAAACCTTTGGTTTTAAAAGATACTGCATCTAGAGCTCATCCTGAAGCTCACCCTGGAGTACATCGCCACACAGGCGTGATAGTTCACTTGCACCGGCGCGGTGGCTTTTGTATGTCTGTGTCAATTCACAACGTAATTGCAAATTTGACCATTCATAAACGATTTTGAGTTTTTTATCACGAAATGGCTATTTCATCTGTTCATGCACGATATTCGTGATCCCATTGTGTTTGCGAATTAGATTAGCTCCTCCAGATTAGCCTTTAAAATGTTTAGCCTGCAAAAAAAAAAAAAAACGTTTATTTAAATCTGAGTAAAGCAATATTATTACAATTGTGTACAGCTTAAAAGCTACCCGGACATCTTCAATTGACGGAAAGGTCAAGGAACGGCTTCCGTGTGTGACCGCTGTACCGATGGTTCAGATGGACCGGAAAAACGGCAAGCATAACCTCTCAAAAAGGGATTGTTGCATGGTCCGTTAGCTTTTCTCAGCAAACCACGGGTCAGGGTAGTCCAAGTAGGTATGCATGTTGCGGAGATTTGAGGTTTGCATTGAACTATCAGGCGAAACCAAGCAGCAGCAAGATAAAGACACAACAACTTTCATGTTGGTATATGTCCAGCAATTTTGCGTGGCTAACAAAATTTCATGGAAGTCACACAATATCCACTGCATTATGGGAGAGGACACGGTTAGGGTCTGACTTAGCAGTTCTGGTGTTGACCACGCAGTGCTGACTTCTCATGCGGTCCGTTTTAAACGGGGTGGGTTCAAGCTCGTTCGTTGCGGGGCTGATACATCCGTCCGTGTTTTCCTTTGCTACCCCTGCGGTTGCGCCTGCAAACCTGTAAATATGGCCCAATCACTTGAATACAATTAAAGTTTCAATGCATGTACTGTGTGCGTGTATTCATAATCATGAGTGATCTACACATGACGTGGCGATTACTGCTCAAACCAGTCTTACGTGCACCACTGCACCACTCTCATATTATTTTGCGTCATCATTTGTTACTCTTCTTTACTTATCGTTATCGATTCCAAGGTGCTGCGATTGTATAATAAACATGCTGGAATGGAAACGTGTTAACTATACCTAACCAATATCCTTATCTGGCTTATAATTTGTTAAAATTGTTTGAATCTCGTTTGTGTGAACTAAGTAATGAAGACCGTGAATCAAATGGAAAACAAGGCAGGTGAATAAAACAAAGAAAATTGAGGCATATCAAAGGGGCCCATTTATTCATGGGCTGAATATGGCTGAATGGATCGCAGACCAGTTGCAATTAATCCTTCGAGGCAGCATTGTACTCCAAAAAAGAACTAGATACCTAACAATAAAATTGAATTTCTTTAACTTATCGGACTAACGGTAGTTTAAAGAGCACGGTTACGCTTTGATTTAATTCTGGATTTGTAGTAAGAGTTATGCAGTTTATCGAAAAACAGGCCAAAGAAACAAAGCTCTGGGCTGATCTCTGCATGACTTTTGAGATAAACCACCACAGCTTGATATAAGTAGATTATCGTGGCGAGAAACAAACCGGAGAGTAGATAGGTATCTCACTAGTTGTGTGTGCGCCTGGTTTGGCGTCGAACGGCGTTGTGAATTGCATTGTAAAAGCATAACGTTGTGCTTTTTTCAATGTCTTTGAAAGGGCCACGAATGACCAAATCATCGAAACTCATCTACGTTTTTCGCAGAAATCTTTGGCAACCATTCTGCTTATAAACCAAGAAACATAATGTAAACGTTCGAAATGACAATACAAATATAGCAGCAGTATGTACCACAGCACATTGTTTTACCTATCGTTATCTTCCCTTACCTGAAGTGAGAGCCGCAGGGGCATTTGTCAGGCCAGTTCCGACCGGGGCACCGGAGACAAGCGAGGCGGCCAGGCCACCGGTTGATTGTATTCGTACTCATACTTAATATTCATGAATTAATTCACTTTTCAATACCCAAAGACAGTTGTTATCCTTCGCGATTAATACTGCATCCCACTTTTGTCCGTTGAGTGCGGATACAGAGCTTGTCACCTTCATGAGAAAGGGATCCGTCAATGAACGTCTCGCAGTAAAGTGGATTGGACCTGGAACCACTCGACGGGGTTGGGACATCTTTTGGCTTTCCCCTTGTTCACTCTTTCTCTGTCTCTTTTTCTGTCTTTGTCTCTGCCTCTGCCTCTGCCTCTCTCTCCCTCTCCCTCTCCCTCTCCCTCTCCCCTCCCTTTCCATCTCCTCTCTCTCTCTCTCTCTCTCTCTCTCTTTGTCTGTCTCTTTCATTTCTCCTTTCTTCTTTATCTCGCTCTTCGTTCTCTTGGCCTCTCTAGGGTAGGGTGGGGTAATTTGAACATGTGGGGCAATTTGAACATAGTGTGAATAACACAAAATTACGGAAAATCCATAAGTGGCATGACAATAAGACCCATGAGAGAAATTATCGTAACTAAAAAGGCTATCATATGAAAGGGGTTTAAAGTTTCAGGGAATGAAGATGTTGACGCACAGTGTAAAAAATCAATGTCGCAAGGATAAACGCCTAACAACACGTCATTGCAACTTCATTGCAGCGCAAAATCTTGCATTGCTAGCGCCTAATACGCAACGGCTTTTGTTGTATAATGATCTAATCAGTGCCTTCAATCCAAGAAATTTGCTTTTGAACCATGTTTTTAAAAATGGCAAAATAACTTTTAGCGTGGGGTAATTTGAACATAGTGTGAGAATTTCAATGAAGACGGGGATAGCTCCGAAAAAACAACGCTCCCAGTTTTTTTGCCATTATTCTCGACCCAGAGCAGTTGCAGGTAAGTGATGCCAGTTTTAGAAAATTTACGTCTAATATCCGTCTAATGTCCGGCATTTTCGTTGATTTTCCGTCCAAAAATGTTAAAGTCAACTATTTGTCCAAATATGTCCGAAAATTATGCAGCTATCAACACTCAAAACCGTCATTTATGCTGCTTATCATGTAATTTTACCAGCCAAAAAGTGTTTATATTGAGAGCTTAACAAGCTTTCCATTCGCCAATCAATGTTACGCACGATTACTTGATAAAATGCTTAAGTGTGGCAGACCATCGTCCAATGTTGTCCAGACTACTAGGTATACCTTTGTGCAATCAATTCCGCATTGGACATTATAAAGAATCGGAACTCCGAATGTCCAGGTTCCGATTGGCACCACTATAACAGATGAAGTAAGGTTTGGTAGAGTTTGTATCGAACGGAGATGATAGACGTTCTGTTAATTGAAGAGAGGCAAATTCTGTCAACTGACCGGTGTGCAGCGTGCAGTTATTGATACTCTGCAACTGTTATTTTTGTTGTTGTGTTGATTTTTCAAATGAAGGTATGTTTAGAATTGCTCTGCCTATTCGTTTAGGGGTCAAACAACATCGGTGCTGGCGAGACTATCGTTTTTATGGCAGGTAAGGGCAGTATGTTCAAATTACCCCACGGTGGGGCAATTTGAACACACCGTGACTTGGTGGAGAAGTGATGCTATGCTATTCAAGGTATGCTCGGCTCGTCCAAAAATGAGGCTTGCATGGTAAAAGCAAGTGACACATGCGCTACTGAAACAGTTTTTCTTCATCCAGGGTTGAGCTGGAATTTGGTACAACGGAGAAGACGTAAAAATATGTTCAAATTACCCCACACTACCCTATTTATCTGATATGATACATTTCTAGACATCTGATTTATCTTTAGTTAGCATTTTGTTTGATAAAATGGAATGAGCTGAGGACGAACAATTGCCGAAAATTTAATTAACGTCTCGTCTAATTTTGCAATTATGATCGAATATGTCAGGCCCCGGCGGCAGCTCAGGGGCGTAGGCAGGGGGGGGGGCCACTGGGCCATGGCCCCCCCCCCCCTTGGGCGCCGAAGGCGCCCTTTGCGATTGGAGGGCGCCGAAGGCGCCCTCCAATCGCAAATGCAATTGTGATATAATCGAATCGAAAAACAATCGCGACTGGAGGGCGCCCTCCAATCGCGAATGTGGTTACAGGGAAAATACGGATGGAGGGCGCCCTCGGAGGACGCCCATTCCAAATACGCCCTCCAAATACGGTTGGAGGGCTCCCTCGGGCGCCCTCCAACCACATTTGTAGGCTGTAGCTCTCTAAGCGTAACGGTGGTCGCCTATGTAAGCCGCTGTCCTGTAAAAAGCGCCCTCTCACCCGAAGGCGCCCTCCTGTAGGTCGCCACCCTGCTACACATTGCCGCCCTTCTGCTGATCGGCGTCCTCATAATTATTGGCGCTCTCCTACCTATTGAGCCCTCATGTGAAATTTTGAAGGCCGCCTTTCTCCCTTTTGGCACCCTCTTGTTCAGTGCCGCCCTCCTACCTATTGGTTCC